AAAAAAAAGAAAACAGTCTGCATATGATGATGGTTTAACTTGGAGAAAAGCTGAGAAAGAACTGGAGCGTGAATGGTTGTTGGGGATGTTTATGAAGGGCAGTTTTTTGTTCATGGTCTGAGCGAGGGATTTAGAACACCAAGCTAAAGTACTCCTAGCATGGTTAGTTCACTGGAACCATACAAGCCATGACTTACTCATCTCCTGGGTAGAAGCTGTGCTCAGCTGTATCTGATCTTCCATGTCCAAACAGCAAAGTAAGTGGAAATGATGGGATCACTCCTCTCTGGAGCCTCTGCTGTTCTTCCCTTGTGCCAAGGTGAAGCCTTTGCTAATAGGGTTGAGAATAGGGGAGAAGCTATTTCAGAGTTAGCCCCAACTTACAGGTTAGTCTTAGGTGTGGACTACTTAACATTTCCAATGTTTCCATCCAAGGAAAAAAAAATTAATTTCATATTGCAACAGTGAAATGTAATGAATAATAATGTGTTGGGGAGATTGTATGTGCTTTTTTAAAAAAAAATTTAAACTGGTTTGTGTACATTGTTTTTCTTTGTACTTTTTTTAGCTCTTCAGAGAAGTAAGAATAATGAAGATTTTAAACCATCCAAACATAGGTACTTTCTGCTTTATTATATATACTCTTGAATCTTGAGTGCATTCTTGAAAGTATGTTGTAATGCCAACCATGTGATAGGAGTGACTGGAGTGATGGGAAGAGTCCTCCCTTCTCCCTAGTTCAGATCCACTCTTTATAATGCACCATATTATAATCCTTATATTAACTTTTTTAAATTTCTGAGCACAGGGTGAAAAGCTTAACTGTTGAATATTTTAAGGTTCTAATGCACTAGAAACATCTACAATCAAATTAACTTGTTTACTAATTGCTTACATTATTAGAAATAATTGTAATTAAGTTGTATTCAGCTAACAGAAAGTCCCAGAGTCAAGCTTTCCAAAGATAAAACACTGTTAGCTCACAACTCCTCTTTGCAAAAAATCAGGGGCCTCTTGTCCCCTGGCATCACAGTGTGCATTCTAGAAAGCACAAGTGTCACGTTGGCCTCTGTGTGGACAACTCTGTTCCAGGAGCTCTAAGGATGGAGGGCTGATTGCTGGCGTCCTCTCAGCCAAACAGGACCCACCCATGGAGTGCACAGCCCAGAGGAGGCTTTGTCCTACGCCAGTCCATACAGTTCTTATGAATGGTAGCTGCTACCATGTGAAAAGATTCTAGAAGGAACCCGCCTCACACACCCAGTGTGTCAGTCCACTGTCTGGATCCCTCACCAGAAGTGCTAGAGTGATATTTGATGTTAGGACAGCATTAAAAATGTTGATACATAGACATACAGAAAGAAGCCAACATTAATTTAGAACAGCAGAGGGGAAAGGCTTTTTCTACAAAGCTACTCATTTTGGTTGTGTTTTTATGCAAAAGACTTAGACATTTTTCATCATCTTTACACATGTCACTTTGAAAGGTATGCATGACAGCACAAGGAAGGGAAGAGTCCTCCATGACCAGATGGCCAAGCCCTTGACAGCTGCTGGCCAAGGCTGGCAATTAGTGTCCACACTGAAGCCCTCAGGCCTGGCAGTCTCCTTCCACGGAGGCAGCCCTTGAGCTCCCCTCTGGTGCCCGGGTTCTGCGTGGACAGTCTGGCTCTCAGGTCCGGGACAGAGGTAGGGCGGAGTCAACCGGACAGAACTGGTTTACTAGTTTAAGAAAGGAAAGACTACTAATAAGCTTTCATCCTGCTATCTAAAATGGGAAAAATTCTCATAAAATCCACGAAATACAATATGAATTCATAGTCTGTTAAGAAGAGCCGATATTCACATTTTTAAAGTTTTCTTGACAATGAGTGTACCAGAGTCTGGGAAATGGTTTGCTGATGTTCAGCAGAGTACTTGATCAAGTCCTGTGGGGCAGTCGCCTGTCTTCTCTATCCCTGCACCGAAGGAGCACTGGTGGCTGGGGGGTAAGCTCCAACAGCTCCAGGGGCAAGGAGGCCTGCTCCCATCAGAAAAGAAGCCTTCACACCTCTGGCAGCTCTGCTCTGTCCTGGAGGCTGCTTGAGTTGGAATCAACTAAAACACCAGAAAATAGCTTGCAATTTAGAAGACTAGAATTTGTTCCAACTCTCATCTTTTGTAAGTTTAACTATAAAGTGTGCATTGTTCAAATAAAGTATGTATGCAGAATAATGACTGACAACTCAGAGGTTTATCTCCATTTCATATATCATTTATTTATGTGTGTGTTGAGTTTATTAATTCCCATTAATAGAGATACTGTTTCTGTTCTCAGAAAGGAATTGCTATAGCAAGTCATACCAACTAGTTGAAAATTAGTTCTTTATAAGAAGTTATTTTAAGTTAATTACAGTGTAATTCCTTCTGCTTTCCATCTTGGCTTCAGAGTAGTCAGAGGAGCATTGTGCTGAGGCCAGTCGGTGTCCTCAGAGGGCCTCTGAATGGCAGCAGCCCTGCCCTGCAGGACAGAGCAGACCCCTCAGCGCCTGTGGGAGGGATGGAGACCAGGGCTTCACTGAGGGTGAGCCACCGGGAGGGCCAGACAGACACCGAGAAGGACCACAGTGGAGGGTGGAGGGGCAGCACTCTGTCCACTGTCCGAGCTCCCACAGGTGATCTTTGTTTTCCGAAAGTCCCATACTGCCCGAAAACCCAGTCTGTAAAATGTGATTAACCTTGAAAGCCTCTTAAAGGGACAGCTGTTGAGATTGCTTTGCATAGTTGTTTATGTCTGTGCCTGCGTGTATGCACAAATTCTGAAGAGAAGTTTGTCTCTTCTCTCCTCCTTTCTTCCATTCCCCCAGTGAAGTTGTTCGAAGTCATTGAAACGGAAAAAACCCTGTACCTAATCATGGAGTACGCAAGTGGAGGTAAGAGCGTTTCTCATGCGGGCCTTTTTTCCTTTCCTCCTGGGAGAAAAAACAACCACGTGGCCCACAGCAGGCTCTCCTATGTGTCCTAGTCTCCACAGTCATGAGGACCAGAGGGGAAGCCCTTCTTAGTGATAAGAGCGTGTCAGCCTGTCAGACAAAGGGTGCTCAGTCTCGGTGGCATGATTAAGTACTTGACACTGACCAATGGGTTGGTAGTTCAAATCCACCTCAGAAAAAATCCTGGTAGACTACTTCTATAACCCTAATCTGAGCACTCTGACACAGCAGTACCCAAGCACAACAGTTACTTGTTTCAGAAGGCCCACGTACTTTGTGATGTGTGCATACCTAGAGCCTCCATTTTTGGAAACCATGTTCATTTCAGGGTGGACTTGGAGAGCTCAGGTGAGGTGAGCCTCAGAGCTGCTGGAGAACAGACCCGGTCAGCGCCTGTGTTTGTCTGGGTCACAGCAGCCAACATGTTCTCCACAGTAAGAACTGGACTTGATGTAGGAAGCGGTCAGTGGCTGGAGACAGCAGGGCGGTGAGCGTAGCTTAGTAGGTTTGGTCAGCAGAGGTTTTCGTGGACAGAACCCCGAATGGAATGTGAAGTCACAGTCTCTCTGCAGAACACCGGGGGGTGAAGTGTAGGTGCCTGGACCTGTCTTGGCGATGCAAATGACAGGGACACAGCACCTTCATAGCCTGGATGCCTTGTCAGCTGTGTACTTAATATTTTAATAGTCTTAGTGGATGTACTTGGAATGTTTGCACTTGAACATTCAGTACTAGGGAGTACTGACAACTAAATGCCAAACCAAAGATCTTTTGGACTTTTCGTGCTTTCTAATCATCTTATGGACAAGCCACCCGAATAACTCAGCCTGACTCATGTGGCCTCTGCAGTGGACAGGTGCTTCTCTGGCCTGAGCTCCTTGAATCTTCCCAGGGTTTTACCCTCCAGGGATCGGAGGCTCTTCAGGTTTTTCTCCAGTCTCAAAGTCCCACGGCTCCATAGCACCTCTCCTATGAGGTCAGTGAGCCGCCACTTGTATTTGTGCTTATTTCAGGTTGTAGGGACAAAAGAAAACATCTGAGAAGCATCCAGTTTAGTAGAAAAAAGGAAGGTCTTTGAGAAAGACAGTGTGGGGTGCATGTAGCCAGTGTTCCTGGCTTCGCAGAACACTGAGGTGGCTGTTTTAATGCCCATGCTGCTATCTTTGTGAGTAGTAGTAATTTCATTACTCCAAACCTGGTCTCTTGATTTGATAGAATCAGGAGGAATCTTTGAGGTCATCAAGAACTAAGGTGGTTCTGGGCCAGGGCTTGGTCAGTGGTTAGGCCCACCCTACAGCTGGTGATCAGGGCCAGCACAGTTCCCCCCGTGGGGCCTGCAAGCACAGGGAGTGCACTCCCTTCGAGCCACACTTCCACTCCACCCCGTGGCCACTGTGCCCTCCCTGAGCCCAGTACCCCTTTAACGATAACTTTATGTTCTCATTGTTCGGTTTTTGTTGAAGCAGATTGACAGTGACAGTGCGTACTCTTTAATGTAAAAGTTGAGCAGTTAACACATTGCCGCAAATGTGTTTTTAGCATGGTCGTCAGTTTAAAAACTGTGCGGCAGCGTGTTAAGCCTGAAAATGTAAGACTTTCCTTTTGCCCAAATACTTGATAAACTTAAATGCTTGTAATTAAACCAATGGGTAGCTCAGTTCAGATTTCACATTTTCCTGGCCATCTTCTTAACTACATTAAAAATAAAAATTGGGCAGGCTCTGGTGGCCTAGTGGCAAGAAGCTGCACTGAAATCCCAGAGGTACGCCGTTCAAATCCACCAGATGTTTTGCTGGAGAAGGAGAGATAATCTCCTCCTGTACCAGTCAGATCCAATTTGACGGTACACACAAAAAATAATAAAAATTATGGGGGGCGGGGAGAGGGGTGCAACAATGAATGAATGGAATTCCAAAAACTCTGTAGATGTTCATTGAAATGAAAAATAAAGAAATTTTTGAAAAAATAATAAAAATTAGAACATGGCTAAGAGCAAAACACTACCAGTCTGTGGGGAAATTGATCTCAGCTGTGGGATTTACTTTTGTTTCTTCCATTACAGGTGAAGTGTTTGACTATTTGGTTGCACATGGAAGAATGAAGGAAAAAGAAGCAAGAGCTAAATTTAGACAGGTATAAACAATGCCCTTAAATTACGGTTATTTTCAATACTGAAACCAACAAGTGTTGGCCTCTTATTAATGTTTCTGAGGCCTGTGGGATGAAGCAGAGGTGGCCCATCCAGTTCCACAGAAATGAGTCAGGTACCTGTCACTCTTCTGCCCAGTTCTGAAAGAGATGCTTGTTTTAAGCATGAAGATGGCTTAACTGTCCTGTCTTTATTAGTCAGCCATTCACGAATCGCCCAACTCCTTTCTTCCAACGGGTTTTCAGAGATAGTGTGGCGTGGGCGGAGATCGCCCATCTTCCTCCCACAGAGCAGCTGGTGGATTTGAACTGCCTGCTTTGGGATTACCCAGGAATCTCAATGATACATCGGCCGACCAAGAGGTCAACATTTCAAAGCCACAAGCCTCTTCTGCAAGAAGGACAAGCCAGTTCCATTTACTGCGTTTGAAGCCCTCTGGGTGGTTCTGCTCTGTCTGCCGGATCACTGAGTCAGAATGAGCTGGCTGCAGTGTGTGAGGTTTCACTTCGTTGTTCTGCCTGGCTGTGGGATAACTGTTTGACCTGCGCTAGTGTAGATCTTACCGCAGCCTTGTGAACTGTATCCCCCGCTCACTCACTCACACTCATTAGCACCGAGTTGGAACTGACCCTCCAGTGTGTTTCCAAGGCTGTCAGTCACATGGGAAAAGATTGCCCATTTTATCCCACTGGTGGGAGCTGCTGCTGCATCCCAGCTGCCCACATGCGTCACCTTATGGGCTCCACCACCAGAACTCCCAACAGAGGATACCCATTTTATAGCTCAGGAAACCAAGGCACGGAAAGATGATTGTGACTTCAAAAATAACTCAGCCAAAGTGTTGTACCTGTCAGGGTTAGGATTAGCAGAGCTTCCCTAAAATGCAAATTCATCGTTGTATTGTTTAGACTGGGAGTTGTCAAATTTTTTTCTTTAAGTCCAGAATGAAGGTTGCATAGTGGAGTATAAGGGAGGGGTGGGGATTGTATACCAATGCAAGAATTTTTCTTTTATGTTTCAAAGAAAAGAGTGAACTGTAGGGGAGGGGTAGGCAGGGAGAAAAATGCAACAGTGAATGAATGGAAATCTAAAATCTCTGTAAACTTTCATTAAAATTAATTTTTAAAAAGGAGGGGGGATTTTTCTTTCCTTTAAAGAGCCAGATAGTAAAGCTTTGTGGGCCATGTGGTCTGTCCCAGCTCCTCAGCTGTGCTGTTGTAACACAGGGACTTTCACTCCTAAACAGAGGAGTGTGACTGTGTGTCAGGAAAGCTTTCTGTACAGCGCTAGGCCATCACGTGATGACCCCTGGCTGAGATCAAAGGAAAAAACATGAACTTTATCGCTTGAAATTCAGTCTGCACTTCGTAAATGAGCAGCCTCCATCGTGCAGTGCCTTCTGTTTGTTCTCCTGATGTCCCAGGTTGCCAGGCAGGGGGTAAGCAGAGACTTGACAGGTGGCACCAACCTGAGAAGACAGTGTTGAGGTGGTTCCCTAGTGTCCTGGACCACCTTCTAAGATTTGCTTAGTCTCTTTGGGTGCTCATTAAAGAGGATAAGACATTTGATGAACTCTGACATTATTTTCATTTCTTTTTTATTTTATTTTTTTTTAATTGGGAAAAACATATTGGGGGTACAAGGAGGTGAGGGTTGGGGGCAGAAGGGTGAGGATGGGCCAGTATGCAGTTGCGGAGCTGCACAGTTTGGTCGGTGGGGGGAGCAGGTGAAGGAAATGATGAGGGTCCAGTGGGGACCAGATGCTACAGAGG